TAGAAAGCATAGATAAGTAAAGTCGGAGGATGATGCTTACCTTTTGAGATGGTTTTTGAATTTTTAATGGCTGGCTTCAGTGACTGTAAGCAATTTTTTTATGTGGATCAGTATATAGGTGAAATACTGTCTCACAAAACAGCTGCTGGGCACTTACTTTAATATAAGACCCACATGTGATATGATTACTTTTCTCAGTTGATAGCAAAGGGAGAAGTTGATCAATTCATCTAACAGGTAGACTTAAAGCAACAGAGAAATTCTAGAATGTCTATTGCCATTCTTGGTTGTTAGTCATAGGCAGGAATGGAAGCTAAGTGGGAGTTCAGAGTATCTTTGTTATTTAAAGCCCAATAATATCTAGGGGGAAAGCATCCCTGATCATTACCTTTAGCGAGAAGGAGAATCAGGGTGTTTTCTGAGTTACAAAGTTATTGGGTCAAAAGGCATGGTTGGCTATATTTAGGATGACAGATTCTAACTTTTGTTTTTGGTGTTATGGGGCTGGAGAAATAACTTTAAAACCACTACACTGACCAAGAGTTAGAGGATGGGATCTTCCAAAAGAGAAATACTTAATCCTTTAAACATGGTAGTTATGCCTTTTCTTTGAGTAGCTCATGGATATCCTTCTTCCTAACTCAGTATATGCCATGATATCCCAGGATTTGTCACCTATGTCATGACACTTTATTGATGTATTGCTCTTCCTCATTTCTTATACAAAGAAAATATCAGAAAATGAACCTTAAATGTGTCCAGATTATAGAACACATTTGAGTTTATTTATGTGTAAACATAGCATCAGTCTGACTTTGCTTTTAATTTTCTGTGAAGTAACTTATTATGCCTCAAAAGGATACTTTACTAAGCCGTGTCAATTCAAACTTTTGTATATGGAGGTGTGGGCAGTTTTACCAATGTGTCACTTTTTGCTCCTTTGAGATTATTATATTCATGGACTTGCCTTGGGTTTCTTCTTGCATCCTCAGCTGTACATATGAGATTCTATGTATGCTTGCTTGCTGTTTTTCTTCCTTTTAACTTGGACTACTGGCCTTGGGATGTAATACTTTTTCCTTATTGTTTAATATTTTAGCCTTCTTAGCCTAGTTTCTTGACTAATGCCTTTCTGCTTTATCATTTCAGATACCTATCCTGTCTTCCTTCAGTCATTTACACATCCATCCAGTGATATTTCTTCACAAAATTCCTTCAGTCATTTACACATCCATCCAGTGATATTTCTTCACAAAATTTAACCTTTCAAGAATTCACTTAGCTATAACTGTATCATTGGTTAATTTCAAGGTTTTTAGCAGTGTATTTAACATGCCTATAAATAACCTTGGGACCGAATTCTTATTTAATTCTCTTGGAAATTTACAAAAGTTGGTACACAGAAAACCCCCAAATATTTTGTGTACCCTCAAATATGACTGTATGAACAAATAAAGTTTATTTTTCTTATTTTTCTTACTGTTTATACCATTGACCATTGACTATAATAAAGAAGCTATTTTACCTGCCATAAAATATGCTGGTAATTTTAAATATGTCTTTAGATTTATTTCCGTACTTCAATTTAGCTCTAATAATATGAATTATACTGCATAGCTGAGCAGAAATAAAAATTACAACTGAGTTTTTTCCCCCAATCTAGATTTGTCATTTGACATATATGAAGGTCAGATTACTGCATTACTTGGCCACAGTGGAACAGGAAAGAGTACACTGATGAATATTCTTTGTGGACTATGCCCACCTTCTGATGGTGAGAGTTTTCTGACTTTAAAAAAACCCGAAAACGCTTTGCTTTATCATTGTTATTAACCAAAATATCACTGTATAGTTATTTATCCTTTAAATGTATACTGAATAATTTTTCTCAGAGATTTGGCACCAATTTCTGTATTAGTAAGGGTGTTTTCTCTTTTTCTTGACTACATACATTTGATTGTCTTTCAATAGGAAAAAAAGGTAATTCCATCATGTTTAATGTGTGTGTACACACGTATAAGTGTTATGTATGTGTGTGTTTAGTCTTTATTTTCAAGGAAGGATAAATCAGTAACTAATTGGAAGTTAAATCACACAAAAAAAAGGTAATTCCATCATGTTTAATGTGTGTGTACACACGTATAAGTGTTATGTATGTGGGTGTTTAGTCTTTATTTTCAAGGAAGGATAAATCAGTAACTAATTGGAAGTTAAATCACACCTATCGACTATTTTACGTTGAGAAAATAAGTACAGACTTCTAAATATGCAGCAGTAGTTTAAAAGGAAAGAATGATAGATGTCAACACCATCTCCTAAAATAGAATTTTAAGAGAAGTTCCTCAAAAGGATAATTTTGATGCATGATTATTCTATAGGTGAGAATTCAATATGGCAGCCCCATATTCCACAATAACCAAATAGAATGGCAGTGCCATAAATATTTTACTTGACAAACTGGGTTAAATTGTACTTCAGCCTTTTAAATGTAGTTTAACTTTTAAAATTAATTTGATTTTGTTGCTTATCCTTAATTGTGTCACTTTTTCATAGAAGTCATTATATGTTGTATTTATATAAGAATTCATGATTTTTGTGTGAATCTC